ATTTAGAAATCCATTACCATCTTGTATCGACCAAAATCGAAAACGGCGAGATCGGACGTGTGCGGAAAACGTTCAAAACCATATTTGAAAAAACCACAAACATTCATATAATATATAATTCAATAATATATTATTTGATTCAAAACAATATACATAATATGTAACAATATATAATATTAATACATAACAATAAAAATATGTAAAACAAAAATAGTATTCTATTTTTTTTTGCATATTTTTCCAAATGTTATGGTTGTATATTTTAAATGCATTTTTTTGGGAATTTAAGAATATAATTGCATATTTAAGTACATTTTTTAACGTTTTTAAAAATTATTTAAATTGACGGGTAAATAAATGATAAATTATAGATCTTTATAATTGTACTTATCCCAAATATTTTTGAACTAAAGTTTGATAGAATTAAAAAACTCTTAACACTTATATTGTAAATTATTATGTAATACAAAAAATATATACAAATAATAACTAATAAAAATGAAATACTTATATTTATAAATTATAATGAATTTTTAATTTTTAATACTATTTTTTAAAATTTTTTTTAGTGCATAAACGCATACATATTACAGTAATTTTAATTGCATAAATATCCGAGCCTAATTAATTAATTTGTAAATTATAATAATTATCGACCTACAGTAGTCGAGATATTAATAAGATAAAAAAAAACATTAGTTAAACAGAATGTACCTACATTTAAATTCAACTTTTATAACAATAGGAAAATACAAATGTGTTAAAAAACAAGGTGTCTATTTTAAGGTTGTTGTAGTCTATAATACTGCTAACGATATTAGTTTATTAGTACTTCGATTATATTGTAGCTAGACGATTATAGTGTACGAACGAAGTTTTTATACGAACGCGGGTTAAACTATACATAAGTATATTATGTACGTGAGTCAACGAGGCAAGTGATTGTCAATAATAAACTTGTAAGTAAGACTGTATTTTTTGGGAAAAATAATTATTCGTTCCGTTATAGAGCACTACGACTTCTTTAATGATGAACACAATTAAAGTGTTATCTGCTGTTTTGTTACGGGGAAATGAAATAAAAATTATACACATTTTTCCTTAGACGAATTCAATATTTTTGAATTCACATCCAAGACGCGGGGCCTGCATAAGCGCGGGACCTGGTGCTGTCGCACCAGTTGCATCGTCCTTCCACCGTGTCTTGCAACGATTTTATTCAAGTCGAATCGTGCGCTTTAATGGCGACAGTGAAGCATTGTGGTCGTACGACGACGACCGCGAGAAAACGAGAAAATTGAATGCGAGGAAAAACGACTGTTCGTCGCATGAAAATCTTGCGCTCTTTTCGTAACATTCCGTTACCCGCCGGGTGGATATTGCGTCACGCATGTATTTTTACGTGGGCTACCGGCTAAAGCGGTGAGGCCGACAGATCAAACACGCGCGTTCGATGAATTCCGCGGAAGACAAGTTTTTTTTTTTCATTTTCATATATCCTTCCCCACCCGTTTCGTCATTGTCCACGTTGTCATTACTGGTTACTACTAGAGCACCTATGTGTGTATATATAAATGTATATTTTATATCAAAACTGTTTAGTTATTACCATTTATCTTTCGTATGTCCGCACGATGACCCAAACATGTCCTCCGTGACGCTTACCATTACAGCAACTGAGTGCAACAGGTGTGTTCTATATTTGTTGTTACTAGAGTGCATTGTATTTTTCTGCATTTCTACACTCCGCCCGAATGACACACGTCATGACTCACGAACTTACTCATTTGTGATTTCCTTGCGTTTCAAATTCTAGATTGTTTAACATTTTTATATGTCCAGTCCATTCCAAAGATAGCTATGTTGTAAACACGGACAATTACAGTCTTGTAAAGTATTCGAATACAAGTATTTGAATACATGTATTAAAATACTTTTTGAAGTATTTTTTGGTATTCTAAATACAATTTTTTTAAAGTATTTTTTAAGTATTTTGAATACTTTTTAAAAGTATTTTTAACAATTTGTAAATACTTGTATTTAAATACCACAAAGTTCGTTTTAATAATTGTATAATCATAATAATTCTCTATCCTAATAATTGTTCCTATTTCTAAGAATAATATTCGGTTATTATTGATGAATCTAATAAGTAATAAAATAATAAGATATTACTATAATATTACTAATTTTAAAACTGTTAAATTTCAAACCGTTTTAACGCTATCATATAAACGTAGTATATTATTACGATAGATATATTAGATAATGTAAAATTGTAAAATAAAATTTAAAAAAAATACTTGTATTTGTATTCAAATACTTAGTGAGTATTCGTGAAGTACATTTTTATAATAGTATTTTATAAGTATTTTTAATACTATTTTATTCGAATACTAGTATTAGTATTTTAATACTTTTTCAAAAGTATTTTTTACAAGACTGGACAATTATTATATATTATTATATATTATTGGATTGTCAGCACTTAAAGTGGTGAAAAAACGCAGTGAGTACTATTATCCCTACACTATTTTGAAATCTTTAATGTGATTATTAGTTATACAAGAGTGGTTAATATTCAATAGAAGTTAGTTATTGTTTGTATACAACACTGTTTTTCATACGGCTCATACGGTTTCTCAGTATTGGCTACGGTCGACCGACGACGAGGCGGAGTAAAAGATAATAAAACAAAACATTTTTAACTTTTTATAAACTTATGACTAATTTGAAGTTTTTAATGTTGGTGATTATTTTGATCAAACTTATGAATGTTCTAGTTAATGTTTTAGAGATATGTAAAGAAGACACTTATTAAGTGTTATTGGAGATATGGCGACCGAGTCCCTTTTCATTTTTCCTGCTCTAAGCCCTGTGGACACTACATACTTTTAATACTTCGGAATTTGTTTGATTTTACACTGTAATTATCATGTTTTTAGACATATGATTTATTAAATAAATCGAATTGTGATATATGAGACACAACGCATACCTTCGTACCTCTTATATTTTTCGTTAACTTCATGCTCGGTTTTACTCAATTTTAAACGCTCATTAGACTAACCTATATTAATTGGTTTCTAATAATTATTTCTTCAATTGCGTTTTTTTTAGCAAGGGAGAAAAAATTCAGTAAATGTCGACAATATAATGTTAAAATATGTTAAAATGAATGTTAAAATAATTACTTGAATTATTTAGGTATGCTTTTACAGTACTAGATAAAAGTTATTTTTAATGAGACCACCAATAAATTACAATTGTTAGGTAGGCATATTTTTTTCAAAAATCAAACCCGGTTAGGTAACTAGATTTATTTAATTTTAATAATTCTTATTTTATTTTTCGTGACGATTCGTGCTTAGTCAAACGCCAATATCGCGTAACATATTTTTGTTTATTTTTTTTTTCCAGGTTTACATTTTACCAGTTTAACAATGTTGTATTATTCAATATATTATGTATATAAAACCAAGATGTTAAACAAATACTTCAAATGTAATTGTTTTGATATTAAAATTGTTTTTGTTTGATAATCGTATTAAAAACCGCTGCGAATAGCATAGCCGATTTTACAATTTTTTGTGTACTCATTAGTATGATACGGCCTCCGTTATAATAATAAAAACGTAGTTTTAACATGTAATTGATTATAATGCGTTTTTCGATAATACGAGTATGGAGTACCTACTACGATAATAATATTAGGTCGTTGTAAATATGAAAACGAAAACAATCGGATGGAATAGACATCGAAAATAAAAACGAATGTTGTCGTTGGACTGCAGTCCACTATCAAATTTTGTAGCTAAAACATGCATGTCAGCGTAAAGGTGAGTTTCGAAAAAGGATTTTTATGTGAAACATTTTATACAGCGGGTAAGATCGGCCATTGGCGTGGCGATCCCTCTCCCTCAACGCGTTATGAATTTGCGTACTATAGGCTGTTTTCAGTACAGGGCAACAAATTAAAATTCGACCCACATTTGACCAATATTTATTTTTTTTGTAAAATTCATTTTAACTATAAATTAAGTGGTCAACAATACTACTTCACTATGCCGGAAGGAGTTAATATGTACGTTGCCTCATTTAATACGTTCAACGACGTCCGTAATTTCGGAGATTACAGCACAACGCGTTTATGCGATTAATAAATAGTTTCGATGTTTCACATCTGCCAAGCGTCCCGCGACGGTTAGGTTTTTTCCATAGAAATTAGTCCGCAGAACATTCTACTATGAAATTTGTTGAAACGGGTAACCGATATCTGACAAAATTAGTAAGCGGTTAGAAAACATCCGAAATTCAATCATTTACGTTCAGGCATTGTACAACGAGATCGAAACAGAACGACTACCATTTGGAGGATACCTATAGTGTTTTTATTTATTACAATATGTTATAAGGAAAAATGAAAAAAAAATCCCATTTTAGGGATCCCAATACAATATACTGATACAGCAACGGGCGAGATAAATAATCGTAGTGTAATCGGAACGCGTCACCTATTCGTAGACGAACATTAGTCTTCCGTCCGTAGAAATAAAGGCACCTATTAATAATTATTAACACGGTAACCGATTCGTTTCTACCGTAAGAATGCGCGGAACACCGGTAGAAAAAAAAAATCTGTTATCGAAAAATCGCGCGATAACATTTACGACCGACGTACGCGTATCTTGATATAACGCGGATAAGTGTAATTCGTAATTACACGACGATTGATTGATCATTATTTTAATATTTTTACGATAATGGTACGTACGTTTTCGACGCACGGTGCCAACCATCCCGACACGGTCGCCGGCCCCGGGCTCGGGTTGGTCACATTGGTCGGCGGCGGTGGCACCTGCCCGTTCGATTCTTCTCTTTTTTTTTTCTCTCTCTCTTCTCTTCACCGCTTCACGTTACCGTGTATTGCCGTGAGAGCGTCCGCGTTCCCCCCCCCCCCCTTCACCCGTCACCACCACCGCCACCGGACGCTTTCATTACTCACCTGCGCGCCGCCCCTCCGACCTTCGCCTTTCGCCCCGTCCCGCCGTCCCGTACCGATCGCTCCCCCACCTCGGCCGACTCGCGGATGTTTCGTGATTACAATATCATATCACTCACTCGCAGCACGTACACACGCACGCGCACCGAGTCGCACACAGTCACACTCGTCCTCGTATTGTTATTATCGTTGTTGTTATTGTTATTATTGTTGTTATATTCGTCGTTGGTCCGGTTCGGTGGTCCTGATATTGTCTTGCCCCGGGTGCACCAATCGTTGACCCTGCGTCGTGCCGTTTGCTTGCAGCTTGCAACGCCGACGGATGAAGGATCGCGTTCGCCTTGCCGCCGTCTTGACCCATGCTCGTCGTCCGTTCATGTCAACCGGCTTCGTTCGAATACTATGCATGTAACCGCCGTCGCAGTCAATCGTCTGCTCGAGACACAGGTAACGGCAGTTTATTGCGGTAACATTGTGACTTTATATGGTGTTGCCAGTGCTGTCGATTCTTTCGTACTGCTCATCAACAACGATTCCGTTCTACGGAATCGTTTTCGAACAAAGTCTTGTCGTCGCTAACGGTTTTTGTCCTATATTTCATAACTCGGAGCAGCCCCGTGCCTTCAATTCTCTCTCTAGACGCACTCTCAAGTGTTTCGATCCAGCCAGTCTATTGCGTTATCCATTCATTGGCCCGTTCACAACATTATGTTGCCTCAATAGGTTTTTATCTGAAAGTTAATATCCATCAGTCAACTAGTGCTTTTTGGTGTAAAACCTATTATTTTATCATATTTTTGTTTTCATTTTTTAATTTAGATTTATTCTAAAAAAAATATATATTATATTGTTTGAAATTTTTGAATATCAGGAAATTGATATTATCATTGTTTATTTAGTTGATGTTTTATGTTTCTACATCGGTTCAGAGTTCTGAGAGTTATAGTAGTATTATCATCAATAATATAAAATAATCTAATAATTTTTGATTTAATTGAAAAGTAATATTCTTCAAACTGCTGTACCCATGATTAATCAGTTTACATAATTTTATTGAACTAACTAAATAGCTTTTACTCTAGTGCAGTTTTCGGCAATCAGCGGTCTACAAGCCGGATGCGGCCTACACGTCTCTTTTATATTGCCTGCGTTAAATTCCAAAACTAGGAAATTTCATTGAATATCTTATCAGATTTTGTATTGTCTGGTTCGTAAACTCTTTTTAATTTGTGAATGTGGCCCAAGGATCCAAAAGGTCTACTATTGCTCTAGACCATACTATTTTATGACTTTTTAAATTAACCATGATTGTAAGCAATAAAATTTATTAATTAGTCCAGCAAATGTATGGTTTTTACTTTTTATTCAGGTAAAAGGTATAATATATTTCCAATTTTATAACATAGGTATATTTACTAACAAAGAATTTATAGTTATTATTTCCCTTTTTATTAATTTTATTATTTTTTTTTTTGCAATAACAAAGAACTTATAATTATTGCATTTACATAAGTTACATGAACTTTTGAAGTTCATTTGTTCCTCGATTTATTTTGACTATTTATTTATTCTGATCTTTTATTTTTTTAACCACCTAAGTGTTTTTATTTATTCTTAAAATTTAAAAATTTAAATACCGATGTATGTTTATTATGTTGATACATAAGTACATTATAAAAATTAAAACTTAAGTAATCACCCCACTAATCACAAGTGGAAACTCATGTATCTAAAATTATTTAATAATTATAAATTTCCCCCATAAATTACTTAATTGAAAATTTAACTATTAAATTAATTAGTTCTTATTAAATGTATTTACATTTAAAGTTGACTTTAGATAGGAGGCTACTAAAAATTGTACACATCATGATATATTGCTTTATTATTGTTATTAACATTTTTATAAGGCCATCAAATTAATATACAACAATCATTAATTGAAATAACAATTATAATAATATTTATGTACCTAAATAAATAAAATTAAAAAAATCATCAATCATTTTGAAATATTCAAGATAATAAATATTAAGGTATAAATTGTAATTTATTACTCATTGATTATATTTTATAAATTTTTTTATATTAAACAAATTATACTTAAACTGGTAGAGTTCTAATGAAATTAGATTTGACAGATTAATGATTCCTATTTATTTCAGTAAACATTTAATTAAAGCATAATCTTAAATATATATGTTGAATCATTATGTATAGTTCTTCTAATCTTATATACCAAGAATAATCAATAACATTGCTTAACGGTTAAATATATATATATATAATAACTTGATCAATATTAATGTTATCTGAGAAAAATATCCATCTGTTTATAATTGGTATAATACTTCACATGCAATTTAAGCGCTTTACAGCTTCTAATGAGTTTTAATATTTGTCTAAAATAATTTTAATAATATTTGAATTACTACCAGTATGTTTTTATTAATCTAACATTTTTACTGTGTATATTAACAATTTTTTTTTTTTTTTTTTGTAAATTTTAATAATGTGAATAAACTTATTTATTTTCATAAAATAAACAATGGTATAGTTATTTTTTGAAATGAATATTATTAAATCAAGAAATTTCATGAAATAAAATAATTAAACTCTAGTGATACATTTATAATAATATTTAAATTATTTCGTCCTATCTATAATTTTTAAATGTAACAAAATTCAATTAGCCAAAAAATATTCCAAGTTAATCAGTTTTGAATGTTTTTGTCCTTTAACAAAATCTGATATTAAGTGATTTGATGTCCATATTTTAATTGTTATTTTAGTAAATAACTTAATTAACAAATTGTAATAAAAATTCATATTTTTTCAGTGACATAATTATGGACAAACGTCAAAATTATAACTATTCATCAAGTACAAATGAAAAAACAAGTCCAGAAAAAAAAAATGAAAAATTATTACCAAATATTGGTTATGGGAAAATTTTAGTTAAAACTGAATCAAGAATCATGAACGACAGAGTATCTGATTCAATGAACTCCAGTAAACCGGCTGTATTAACTGATCAAGATATAAATAATTATATACTAAATTGTGTTTCAAATTTAAAAGTTAGTGATCAAAAATCTCCAACACATTCCAAATTATTCCCATTTAAATCAATAGATTTATCTAATCCTTCAGATAGATTGCAAAGTAATAACTCAATTGATAGCATGAATGGTACTAACAATTTACATTCCAGTATTGATCAAGGTAAATATCCTAGAAACAACATGGGATTAAAACCTGCATTATCAAGTCCTCCACCATACAGTACATCAATAAGTAATAGAAATTCACCAAGTCCTCGTGCTGGTATGGGATCTATAAGTCATGAATTAAAATCATCCCCTCTATATGAAAATGTTGATTTTTATAATGGTGGTCGCAGTTTAACTCAAACTCCTACTTATTACCATCAAAGACCTAGACCGGGTTCACATTCTAGTGGTGGATCTCAAGACTCTAGACATTCCAGTCCTAGAACTAGTATAGTTTCTTGTGAAGGTTCATCAGCATTGTATGAATCAACTTATCGTAAAGCTCAACCTCAAGTTCCAGTCAACTACCCCAAATATATTCCACCGATGGGAAAAGAAGTTCCGCCTTATGAAGCACCACCTGTATATGAAACTATATCAGAAACCAACAAAAATTCAAATTTTTATGAACCAGCCAAACCAGGGCCTCAAGTGTCTACTCAACCTATTGATCATATTAGCCGATATCCTGCTCAGCATGCTACACCATATATAAAACCTATACCTACTACAGTTCCACAAGGAATTAAAACATTTTCAGATTATTCAACTCAAACAAGTTCTCATAACATGAGATCGTATAGTTCAGCTAGTAATGTCAGTTTTTCTGAAGATCCAGTGATACCAAAGTCAACAACTATAGCATCACAAATGTGTGTAGTAGGGCAACCATCACTTGCTGAATCAAGATCTCAAAAACAACATAACACCATGCCCAAAATTTTTCAAACAGCATCAGCATATCAACAAGGATCACCAACACACCATGGTACATCAATAAACCATGGTACATCAACACAATCATCAACAATACCATCCTTACCCATGAAAATTAAACAACCAGCTAAAAATCTTTTACCATACAATGTTACTCCGCCACGGCCAATGGTAATTTAAATAATAAAAAACATTTGATTTATAAGTCAATTAAAATGTTTACTTAAATGTTAGAACTTCATAGTATTTTTTAACAACTACTGCCATAGTAATTTTGTAAAATATGTATAACTAAATAATTTGTATATATATAATTAGAAATGGTATTTTATAGCCCTAATTAATACATATTTTTAATTTTAGGGTCCAACAGAAGCTGAAAAGAAAATTGAAGAACTAACTAGACAGCTAGAAGAACAAATGGAAACTCAAGAAGTTGCTGTTGGAGGAGAATATTTTGGTTAATATTATTTATTTATTAATTTAAAGTAAAGTGTTTGAACGCTTTTACATAATTAAATATTTTTCATGTAGGAATATGTCACACTTGTGGAAATAAAGTAACTGGTGCTGGTCAAGCTTGTCAAGCAATGGGAAACTTGTATCATACTAATTGTTTCATATGTTGTGCTTGTGGTCGTGCTCTTCGTGGTAAAGCTTTCTATAATGTTTACGGAAGAGTATATTGCGAAGAAGATTACATGGTATTTATTATGAATAATTCAATGACAGTGAAATGTTTTATTGCTTACAATTCTTTTTTAATTAAACTTATATTTTTTATAATATTATAAAATAATATTAAGTAATATTTTAATTCACTCACCTCATTATAAAGTATTAAATATTTATATTTTCATAATTCTAGTATATAGGTTTTCAACAAACAGCTGAAAAATGCTCTATATGTGGACATTTAATTATGGAAATGATTTTACAAGCTATGGGGAAATCATTTCATCCTGGATGTTTTCGATGCTGTGTTTGCAATGGTTGTTTGGATGGAATACCATTTACAGTGGACATTGATAATAAAATATACTGTGTTGCTGATTACCATAGGTTTGTATTGTATTTTGAACATTTTATTGAGCTATATATAGTACTTTATTTTACTTATTATTTTATAAATGACTATATATACATATATATATATATTTAAAGTAAATCTGTGTACAATTTTTACAAAAGATGACCTAAATAAGAGAATTCTAAAATATATTTGTAGTTATTGATAATTGTGTTTCATGATAATACTCAGTTGTTTCTTCATTTTTTGAGCATGTTTATTGAATATTGTTTTAGTTAACATATGATTAGTGTAAAATCCTAATTTATTTTAATTTTCAGTACATAACTACGTTCGTGAGTTGTTTTTATAAGTTGTTTTTAAGCAATTTAACAACAATAAAATGACTTGTAGTTTAAATTAAATTAGATTATAGTATTATATGTAAATTGTATATCTTATATAAACTACCAACTAATGTTATGAATGTTTATAAATATGACTAGTGATATTAAATCCTGATAACAGTTGATTTATTGAAAAACTATTCGTATAATACAAGCTCTTAATTTTGTTTATTAATTATTAAAATAATCTATTGACTGATATTTGCAACAATTGAAGTAATATTATTGATTTATTAGGAATTACTTAACAACACTTGTGTTTTTTTTATGTATGCCTATCAGTTTTTTGTATTTTATATTTATTATCTAAAAATAATATTTATATTTACTTAATCAAGATACATCTTATATAATGATTTATACTTACTAAAAGAGTATTAGACTAATAATATATTGCTTATTTTAAAAACATATTTATTAGTAGAATATTTTAAATGTTAGGTGTTGTATACTTTTAATTTTTACAATTTCAAATTAGTTATAATCCATTTTGTTAGGTACTGAGCTGTATAAAGGTAGTTTTTATTTTAAATTAATATTTTATTAATTATTAACTGTATTAATTTTTCAATAGTATAATTAATTGTTTGTACTTAAAAATTTAAAATATTGTTTTTATTGTAACTTTATAGTATATTTTGTTGTTGTTGAATTATTATTAGAAAAAAAGAAAAAAATTAATCAACATTTTTATAGCATTTTTTTTTTAAACTTTTTAGAAAATATGCTCCAAAATGCGCTGCTTGTGGAAAAGGAATTACACCAGTCGAAGTATTAATTGTGATTACAATTACTGGTTTGTAAATTATATTTTGATTAATTCTTTATTTTAGGGCACCGAGGAAACTGTACGAGTTGTTTCAATGGATAAAGATTTTCATGTAGATTGTTTTATTTGTGAGGTTAGTATTTTAAAAAATAGTTTTTAAGAAATAATTTTTAAACAACTTAATTATGAACTATAGGAATGTGGAATGCAATTAACTGATGAACCAGATAAAAGATGTTATCCATTAGATTCTCATTTATTATGCAGATCTTGTCATATATCACATTTAAATGAAAATCAACCTGAACTAGAGGTAAAATAATTATATGACATGTTTTAAATTATGACAAGTATAATATTTCAAATTTATTTCAGAGTGTTTCTGCTACATATGAATATTTAGATTGAGAACTGAAGATTATTTGTCTATTTGCAACAAATGTCATGGAAGTCTATTTATATTATGAATTTTTTAGTGATTGGATATAAAAATTCGTTTTATATGTTTAAGATTTAATAATTTTTGAATTCACTACAGTGTGAAATTAATGTCAATGTTATAAAAATTATCAAATAAGTTGATTATACTAACCAATACTAACTTTAGATAATTAAATAAATATATATATTACGTAATTTTTATTTATATAATATATATTAAATTTATGTTGGGCTTTACTTATAATAATATTTTAAGTATGTAAAAATACCACATCCTATAGAAACCGGTATTTCAAATTTTAATATAGTATAGATTTAATAAAATAGACATTTTTTATAATTTATTTGATAAATTAATTATTTCTTTAATATATAGTATTATCATATTCATTTATACAAAAAAAAAAAAAAAAAAAATAGTTATAAGAAATTAAATTATAATTTTGGACATGATTATTTTTTTAAGAATTTTATCATGTCACAAAATATAATAAACAAATTGCAACTTTTCGTGATTATTAAAATATTGAGAATTGCATACTTTTTTCAAGTGACAATGAATTAATATATTGATTTTATAAAGTTTTAATCAAACATGATTAATTAAAAATTATAAAACTTGTTTAAATTATTATAATTAACGTTATATGAATTATTTATAATTTAAATTGATATTGTTATAAATTCTACATTTTGAATTAAACTTCATATTTATACTTTCTCTTATTTACTTGCATTTTCATACTAATATTAAATATAAAATGTTTTTGTAACATATTTTTTTATATGTATTATTTTTCATTAGTTAGTAATTTATTCATACTACTTTCAATGTATTATCTAATATTTTATTAACAACCTAAATTTATGATTAACATTAAATAATTCAAGTTGTGTTTTGAAAGAAAAATTTGGTAGGTTTTCAATTTTGGTAATAAGTTAGATTAGCAGTTCTTTAAATGTATGCCACGGTGTTTTTACAGGGGTATCAGTGACTGTTATCTAATCTAAAAATAAATTACAATAAATAATGATAGTATATTATTAAAGTGTGTTTTACATCCAAATTTTTAAAAATAAATGTAAACTAAAAATTACATTTTTTCCTTAATCTTTATTTTATAATGGAAATTATGTGATATAAATTTAATTTATAATCTCATTTTTTTTGGATTGGTGAATTTATCACAGTATACAGAAATTGTATTTGTATGTGAATTTTTTTTAATTTGTCTATTTTTTTAAAGTTATCCTGTAGTTATACTTAGATTTTGAAATCTTCTGTTTGTTGTTTATTATTATTTTATTTTTCAGTGTGAAGTTGCATAAAAATAAAAATTTTACTATGTCATTGTAATATTTTCTGGTTGTGATAAATGGAATTTAAGTATACTTAAATGATAGTATTTTAAGTAATTTTTGTTTTATTACAGTACCTTTGACATTTTTATTGATTACCAAATTAATTTTTTTAAACTTAAATTTACATTTTTTTATGTTACTTTGTATAATTATTTAATAATATCTTTTAAGCTGTTAAATTATTATTAATAACAATTGATTTTTGTTAATTTTGTATAAGTATTGATTTAAATATTTCAATTTTTTTTTTAATGTTATTTATTCCTTGTAAGATTAAATATTTTCCATAATTAGTAAATATGTGTATATTTGACCGAAACACAAAAACCAATAAATATGATTTTGACTGTGTCCTATTTTAGGTTATCTTTGAGTACAATGTAGCATTATTGTAAAATTAAAATAGTGAGTTTATTGATTATAACTAATAAATAATAGTTCTTTTTATATTATTATAATTTATTCAAACTGTATATATTCAAACTATATATTACTCAAACTGTTGATACTTGAAACAACTATGCATTTTATGTATACAAAATTTTGACTATGTTAATATACTGATGAAACATATAAATTTGAAATATGTGAACAAAATATTAAAAGTTACTTCATTTTATAATATAAAAATACTTATTATGTATTAACCTGTTGTGCATCGTATTAGTACGAAAAAAACCTAAATGTTTTTACTATGTAGGTTATGATTGTTTTTCTCATTTTTTGGTAATTTGTATTCCTGAATAAGTAATGAACAGGTCATTAATTTTTATGCCATTGAGGTTCAATTACATTTTGTATTAATATACATTATATACATAATATATATTAAACATTTTTTAGAGATATTAATTTTGATGGTTCATTTGAGTATCACTTTAATAGTCATTTGTCTATTTCAGTTATTGGTATTTCTTTTATTTTTATTATTTTTATTAGTACAATTTCTTTGTTGTACAATTTAATTGATTATTTAATCCAGACAGAATAATATATTTAACTATTTAAATAATATCTTACTGTACTATATTCACTGTTAGTTATAATACAGTGATGTATATTCTTAACTATTGTTCATTAAAAATATTGTAAAAATATAATAAATAATTAGTGTGTAGTTTGTATCATTTTTGTTGTTTAAGCTCAATGTACCTCATGTCACTTGAAATAATTATTCATTTGTTGTTAGTAGCACATTAAAAATATAATTTGACTTGCTACTTGGGTTTTTTGTTAATGACTTGAATGTGCATGTACTATGAAAGTATTTATTATTATTTTATGTTTATAACTAGACTAATATAACAATTTTCAGTAAAATATTAATGAAACTTGTGTCATGACTAAATTCATTCTCATATATTCATATTTTTAAAAAAACTTTTTCTTTATTATATAACATTTTCATATGGATTATTGTAAATGATAACCATGTATGTAGTTACTATGAGAATCATTCTCATTGTAGGGCTTAGAAATTTGTATGACTTATTTGTACTTTCAGAATAGTTGCTTTTTCAAATGTTCAGGCAAAGTTCAATAATAGGGATTTAATTAAATGTTATGCTTGTAAAATATGAATAATTATAATAACCATTATTGAATTACCTAGTGTTCCTAGTGGTATTTAAAATATATATATATATATATATATATATATATATTTTGAATGAATAATGTAGAACATCTAATAAATTGCATTTTAAAGTTATGGTCAAGAAATACAATAATATTATATACTCATATTATCATACTGAACAATTTTAATAAATAATTTTTAATTTTTATTAATTACTATGGTGAAATTGTTATTTTAATATTAGATAATAATTATTGTTTTGAAAAAATAAAATTAAAAAAATATTGTATATTTATAATGATGACATTTTAAAGGTAAATTTTATAAATTAGTTCTTTTATTTCTTAATCTGTGTGAGTTTTTCAAAACAATTTCTTTTAAAAAAAATTACGGGAATATGTTAAAAATTCATTTTAAATTTTCAAAAATGTTTGGATTATTTTCTGTGTTTTTACTTATATTTTACCTTTGATTATAATGTCTAACTTTTTATCAGGTCAAAGTTAAAAGACTAATTTTTAATAGCCAATTGTTTAGCTGAACATTAATTAAAATACCATAGCCAATTATAGGATATGCTGTTAAAATAATATAATCTGATAAAAATAACATTACTTCTTTATTAAATTTATGACAATATAATTGAATCACTAAATATACTACTTCTTGTGTTTAACAATTCAATTTAGTAATGATTTTTCAATGATTCGTTTTGTTAAACTTTGTTTTATTTTAATACTGCACTAAGATATTAGAAGTTCAAGCGTTTTTATTAAAACTAAGTGAATGATCATTATGAAGTAACGCTTTAAGAATCAAAAACCCATTATAGTCAATAGTTGATTTGTTTTACAAATCATTGGATTTTGGTAATAACATAATAACATAATATCCTCAATTCATAATAATCAAATTATATTTTAATCTATAGTCACTATAGTAAATAGTAATAATTAATATTCTATCTATTGTATAGACTTGCTATTTTCACAAGTTCTATTTAATGATCTATTCGGTATTGAATAATACGATTTTTGTTTAGTTTAACTCTATAGTGTAGTTCTAAAAACATGTTTAAAAATATATACCATAGTCTTTTAAAAGTGTAAAGTTAAAATTGGATATTAATAACACAGGTACCTGCTGATAAATATGACAATTCCAATGCACAAAACAAAAAGTCCGAGATATTTATAAATTATAATTTATATTTCAGTATTTTGCGTATTCGTTATAAATACAAGTATAACATATGATATTAGAAAAATCAACTTTTTTTTAATTGAGTTAAGTTAATTTTATTTTCTATCTTAACTTTTAATTTATCGAGTTACTTTTTATTTTGTTAACTTTTAACTTTAACTGAAGGAAATTTAATTTAATTAATTTAACTAACAGAGTTAATTATTTTGATTAACTTGCCCACCTTTGCATTTGCGTAAATCATTTTTAATGTTATTATTGATACAACTATTAGTTTGAGCAATCATATTAAACTATCTAAATGTAAAGATTTTTGAATACCAAAGTGAATGCAATTAGTTTTTTCTCTGTTTATTTCGAGTGAATTATTATCTAGCCAATTTTCAACAATACTAAAACTTTCCTCAGCCATTTTGTATACATTTTTTACACATGGTCTTTTTAATAAGATGAGGGTGTCCTCTTTCGAGGAGTTTCTTGATTAAGAAGTATATTAATATTTATTATAAATAATATTGGTCCTAGTACGGTACTTTGCAGTACTGAGTAATCAATTTCTTGTTCGTTATCTATTTTTACTTTCTGTAGTCGACCGTTTAGGTATGTTTTAAGTTAAAAGTTAAAAGTTAAAAGTTTTTTAAGTAGGATTTTATGATCAACAGAATCAATAGCTTTCCAAATAACATATTGCTTGTTATCTAAATTTTCATATATATATATATATATTGTGCAGTTTTTCCTACGGATATTTTTAGGGTCAAAATCAAAAGTGTGTGGTTTTTGAATTCAACGAAAATCATGATTATCTAAGAACTCTAAAAATCTACTTTTTAGGCATTTTTCAAACATTTTTAACAAAAAAAAAAAACCATATTAGTTTGTAGTTATCTTTTTTTTTTTATCACAATTTCTATAAATAGTACAATTCTAATAACTATAGTTCTAATAACTATTAACTCTTTAAAAGACTTAGAGAATTCTCCTTTAGAAATAAAGATAATACATATTTTAGATAAAGGTACACCTATAGAATTAGCCGTTCTTTTAAGAATATAATTAGATATTGAATTTTTA